TTCATTCATTTATAGTGGTACATATAACAATAACAGAGTAATATATATATATATTATTGTATTATAATTATTGATGGATTAATGTGCTCATCACCTTAATGTTGCAGCGGGTAAAGGAGGAGCTGATTTAAATTACATTATACACTACTGGGTAGCTTATGAAATTCACCATGGGNACATTATTTTCATTCATTTGGTGGTTACAGTGGTAAATATAACAATGACAGAATATTATATATATTATTGTATTATAATTATTGATGTGCTCATCACCTTAATGTTGCAGCTGGTAAAGGAGGAGCTGATTTAAATTACATTATACACTACTGGGTAGCTTATGAAATTCACCATGGGATCAATAACGTTTTTATCTTAACCTATAATAATACATGATAAAATATTTCTTGATTATATTTTGTATTGTTCTGAATCTGAATCAAAGTTAATAAAGTTATCAAATAAATGTAGCGCAGTATAAAGTACACTAGTTGCCTGAATGGGAAAGGGGCAGTACAGTATTTAAGTAAATGTACTTTGTTACTGCCTACCGCTGTTCATTGTTCAAGATTGAAATGTAAATTTGCAAGACAGTTTCTGCCCCTCTATTCACATTTAGCCTTTCACACGTGATGGTGGCTTCATTCTCCCATTATCTTCTACAATCTGTCTAGAAGTGTGTTTTTAGCATCTGAATAGAGCCATCACAGTTTGTCTACAATGTGCCTCTCACACTTGACCACACCCCGAACGAATGGCACACACATTTCAGGGAATTGTTTTGTTATGAATGCTTAGTAAACAGTTTTAAGAATCCATGGTATTAAATCCAACTAATTGTGAATTTATAATTTAAAAAAAGGAACCTCTGGTGGCTGCAGAACCACCCTCTGATGGCACCAGCAGTGAAACCTGGACCAGCACCCCTGAGGAGCCCTTCCTCTTTGATGCTGAGTCAAGGCCCTGCACTCCCCTGGCAGAATCCCCTATCTGTGGAACAGAGTCCACACTGGCACCGCTCGGAGAGGGGCCAAGCACATTCAGTCACTCAAGCACTCCAAGGCCTCGGGTGAAGCGTAGCAGGAAGATGCTGGATAAGTCCACCAGTGAGGCGTCAGAAACGTTAATGCGCAAGATTGGCAGGACCCTGAAACATTTAACTTCGAAGGGTGAACATAATGACTACATCGCGGCCTACTCAAAAACCTTTGAACACAGACTGCGGCAGTTGCCACGTAGTTTGCTGCCACACTTCCTGCATGAGGTGGACAATAGCTTCTTCAAGTATTTGACGGACAAGTCCCTGGAAAATGAAATTAGAAAGAGGTGGCTTGTCTCCGACGCTAGGCCGAATTTACCAGATACGCTCAAAATGTCCCCCCCCTATATATAGCCTAACTGATTACATTTTTTTATTTATTAAATTGCTATTTTTTTTTTGGTCCCCCCCCAATGTTGACTCCATGGTTACAGCCTTGCACCGACTGTATATAAAGGGTGTCTCTGACAGACGTATATATTTTTTTAATTTACACTAATGTGTCATGTCAAATTTAGACATGAGAGACAGAATGAAAAAACACGTCTTGTTTGTTGTTTTGTTGGTAAGGATGTCTGTTGTAAAATTATCTGTTCAAGTCAATAAATCATAAGTCTCTGCAATTTGCAATTATTTTTTGTATAGCCTATTTAGGGCATGTTTACATTTCTCTTCTGACTTCATTTCAGAATCAGAAACTGGTTTATTGCCAGGTAGGTTCACACACGAGGAATTTGACTTGATGTCATGGTGAATACATAACTTAAAACAAAGAATCTCCATATAAAACAAGCAATCTAATATAAAACAAAACATCTGTAATAAAATATAGTTAAATAGCAATAAAATAAAACAGTAATTTACAGCTAGATGGAATGCAATGAGTTATAGAATATGAAATAAGAATATGTGCAGTAAGCAGTATTTGAACATTGTGTACATTAATGTAATGCATATAGAGTCTACGTTGTGTCAGTGGGGGCCGGGCCTTGTTTAAGAGGCCCGTAGCGGAGGGGAAGAAACTTCAGGTGGCGAGAGGTTTTGGTGCTCATGCAATGCTTAACACTGCTGCTGGAACAAAAATAATTTCCAAATTTGGGATGAATAAAGATTCTATCTATCTATATACATATCTATCTGTCTACCTATCTATCTATATACATAGATGTAGACAAGAATGTATAGTTAAATATTTTACTGTAAAATTAAATAAATATTGTTTATTGTGAGTTTAAATACATTTGCAATTAATTCCATTTTATATTTAAAATGTCCAAAATGCATACTTACATTCATACCCTCATTCTTTATATCATGATTACTTTAAACAACATTCAATATTTCATTAGAATCCAAAAGGAAAGTGAGTAGACCTGTGCCTTTACAAGGATAAAATAAAACGACGTGCCTCTGCGTATGACGTCACTGTCCCCTCCTGCTCATTCTTCTGCTCGTGCTCGGCTGTTTCAGCGCAGTGGTCATTCCTCTCGTGAGCTGTGTCTGTAAATGGTGAAGTCTGCAGAAGGCGGAATAAGAGACACTCAGTACTTGAGGAACAAACAATTAGCCTTCAAAGCAGGAAATTAAAGTGGGGGCCAAGTCTGTAAAAGGTGAGGAAATACATTGTCTTTCTTCGTGTATTTGTATATCTTAATGTTAGCAAAGGCTATCATTATCGTCAGCTGAGTGATAGCTTGGGCTGGTTGTAACAGGCTATCGTTATTCGGCTTGTTGTTAATGGTTGGTTGCATGTCTATTCGCAGTTCGTCAGTCAGTATCAAAACGATATAAGATTACCTGTTAACAATGTCGCGATAACATCATGAGTCTATTATCGGTATGCAACGAGCCGTATCACATATTTACTGTCATTACTGCAGGCGTCACCGTACTGTCATATCCATAGTCCGCAGTACACACACACACTCACACACACACACACACACACACACACACACACACACACACACACACACACACACACACACACACACACACACACACACACACACATTAGTAGGAAGATATACATGATTAACTTTTTTTAAAACTTCAGATTTATATTTTCTTATTTGAATTTGCATAATGATCTCACAGACACGCCTTTAATGTTATCAAGACGAATCATCATATCCTAACAAGCAGAAGAAGGATATCTATGTAATTGTATCTTAATAATTGTTAAGGTTAATGTACTGTAATTATAGTCTCCCTCTGTCTATATTCTGACAAACAATGCGGTAAACAATCAAATGATTAGGCTCTAATGAATGTAGTTTCAACCCTGTAAAGGGAAAGTGACTTGTCTTTTTTTATATCACAGTATCATATATCATTGTCTTTAAACTTGAGTTACCCTATTTATTGGTTAAATAACCAGATAATAGTGTTGGTCTTTGGAGTTTAATTATCAAATATAAAACACATCTTGTTGATGCAAAAATGCTGCAAATCCAGTAATGTCATTGAGTAATGTTGAGACAAAACCCCTAAGATTATCCCATGCTTTATTCTCACATCGCCCAACCCTACCTCTACTGGTGTGGCAAATGGCTATATTTAGAATAAAAATGGAACAACACTTGTTCTGGTTGGTATAACGTTTTGAAGTTTTTAGATCACATAAAAGAATCGATTACATTTTTGATAGTCAAACACTAACAGTGTGTCTATGAATTGTCTTCCATGTAAAATAGTTATTGCACTTGAAAAATATAACCATATCCCTGATATTCAACCTGTTATGACTTCATAGAAACTTTAATGTTCTCTTTGTGGTTTCTGAGATGCCGCCATTTTTCTATACTATATTGAGTTTTTGGGCACATGGGACTAGCTTTTTTTTCCCCCTAAAATATAATAAGTATATGAAAAACAGTAGAACTATGTGTCTAAAGACAAAATATATCAGCAACAATTTGACAGATTTTAAAAAATGTTTGGAAATGTGTCCCCCGAGAACAATTCCATAGAGATTTCAAAATGCAGTAGTACAAATTGGAAATCCCAATTCATCTATTTCTCAGGAGTTCCTGAAGCAGACAACTAAAATCCTTAAATTCTTCTTGAGGAGTCTCTGGTATGCAGCCGATCAAATATCCACATGTTATTTCAGGATAAAATACCACCTTCGCCCCGCCCACTGCACACTTTTGGCCGAGGAACCTGCAGAGCCTGTCTGAGCCTGCAAGCCACCGCAGGTTGAAAGGAGAGAAGACTGTGCCATGGCTCTGTTGACCCTGCGTCGGCTCCCGTCCATCTCCTCCGCTCCAGTGAGTTCAGTCATCTCAACACCACGTTGTGCACGTGCAAGTTTGCTCCCTGAGATATGAAAGAATGACCTTTTTGCTTTTTACATAGAATGGTTTAGAACCACGAAGCATAAATGAGGCTGTTTTTAGTTTTGTACTCGCTCTCAGGATAGGCCTACAGGGCAAACGTACCACAGATATATCTTTGAACTGATTACGTTTTCCTTCATTACAGCAATGTGATTGGACCAGCTTCTGTTTGTCCTTATGCTCCTACAAACAGTGATTAATGCACACGTATTATCATATAAACACTTATTACCATCAGCTGTCTCTACCTGTATCTCCTCATTCTGTCCCTCTATCATGAAGATGGTTTACCTTCACATCCTAGGCTTTTCTTCTGCTCTTTTCCAACTAAAACGACCTGACTCTGGGTCCACGTTTCATTTCTTTGCATATTTGGTCACAGTATCTATTCACTCTACTATCTTAACTTGTGTTCTCTCCTTTTCTTCTTTTTCAAACCCCCCATTGTTCCTCTCCTGGCTCCTGCCCATTGCTCCTCTCTATTTTTGTTTTCTTGACTCTGTCTGGACTTGTCAGTTTCGTAACAGGTAATGTTACTGTCTCAAGTTTCTTTCTCCGTAAACCCTCCGTACTGCTGCTACTTCTCTCTCTTATTGGTTCTCTCTTTTGCATTGTGCTTCTCCTTCATTTCCTATTTCACTGCACACATAGTGGTTTTAACCCCACCCCCCCCACCCCCTTGTGCTAACATACCACTCTTGTGTCTGTTCACTCACTTCGGTCCTTCACTGCACCTTATCTGTGTCGCACCACATTTCACCCGAGAAATGACTGGACATTTTTTGCCAGCCCTTTTTGTGTACGCACTTCTCAACAGGAAAGACATCACTCACACTGCCTCCAATGTTCCCAGATCAGCTGTGACGGTGTTAGTAACAAGTCGGAAATGTGCTGTTTGGGAGCATTACAAATAACTCGTATTAACGAATATGAAATCCAACTCCAGCAAAGGATTACACAACAGAAATGTGACAGAGCTGGAATATTTAGAATCTAATTACATTATTATTTGAGAAATCAGAATCAGACATTAACACAATTATTTTGGCTTATTAGGGCCTTAGTAGGTTAACAACTTTTTTTATTCATAGGGATGGAGTAGAGGGGAAATAATAATACGACAGAAAAAATGGTTTTACTTTTAGAAGAAAAAAAACACTTGAAGCTGAATTTAAATGGGGTCAATTATACGGAACTATTCACACATTTAGGAGAAAACTAAAACTACAATAATCTCTGAGATTAAAGTCACAAATTAACCAATTGCTGATAATACAAATAAAGTAATTTTCTCATAATTTGACAAACTTTTATTTACATAAGGGTTTTTCATTGGTATATTTGCCCCTACCTGGCCCCTACATGCCATCATACACAACAGAGGATAAACATGTTGTCCTATTCTCCCTGATGAGGCGTTCTGTGATTTTATTTATTTTATTTTTAAGAATGAAACCCTTCAGAGGAGAGCAACGCTTCAGAAAAGGTAAATGTGTCCCTTTGTTGTCTTTGAATTGTCATCTGTTTAAACTCATAGCAAAATGATTCCCAGTGTCTGGAGAGCAGCGGCGTTTAACAAACTGTCCTCTGCCCCTCTGTAGGGAGAGCTTCGCCCTGGTGAAGGGGGCGGTCCTCCTGCTGGAAGAGGGTGAGAGGGTGGGCATCGATGAGGAAACTTCTTCCTCTCCACCTTCTCCTGGTGAGGAAGGCGATCGAGCGTCAGACAAACGGCACAAACAGCTTCATGCCATGGTGGAACAGCTCCGACCGGAAGACACCATGAAGCTGGTGAGACCTCAAGTTTACCGGCATGCTGGAAATACAATCGGTAGAATTAGAAAATAACAAGCAGAATGATCTGTGCTTAATTGTCTGGATTCAAGAGGATACTGTTCAACAGCTGGGGCACATCAGGTGGAGAGTCCTAATCTGTAGGGACTTTAACAGAATATTAAGTTGAATGTGAACGTGTAATGTGAATTCTACACTGATGGTCTATACTGTAGCTTTGTGTGTTTCAGTGATAGGTTTCAGTCCGTTACTGCAACACAGCGCTGAACTGGTGCTTTCCGCAGCATTACACTAATATTTAGTAGCCAGTATGTTTTGCAGAAAGCTGCTGTTCACCCTTAAGATATGAAAATGTGCTGCAGGAAACATTCTAATTCAGATATTAGATAATCCATCACGCTGAACATTTAGTTATTTTCCATGGACATCTCTTATAGTCATGGGTTTAAGAGTTTCCATGAAGGAGTAAAACACCCCCGTTCTTTCAGATGTATTGCCATGCAGAATTTGCTATGAAAGAGAGTACATCTAAAACAGGATGTGTGAAACAGATAATAGGAAATGTATAGCATTTGGAGTTGCTAGGTTACAACATGTCAGTCCTGCTGTGGCTCTGTAAGTGGAACATAACGAGGATCTGAGTTTCTCTGCAAACACAACATTTACTTCCCTGGTGTTCCTGGGAAGGCCAAGACAAATGTGCTACACAGGATATTTAGCGCTGTGGTTTGTTTGAATTCTGTTTTACATCAGACTACAAAGGGAACAGCAATATGTGAATGTAAACTCAGTAATTGTACTTGTCCTCCGTCTTCTTGACTTCCATTTCTGTCTTGTTTCTGTCTCACTCATCCTCTGTCTCATGATTGACCCTCTCTCACGCAGGCGGTGCAGTTGGAGTCCATCAGCTCGGTCAGAGTCAGATATCTGATCGTCGTCTGCACCGTCGGCAACAAACAAGAGAGCATCCTGCTGGGCATGGATTTCCCCAACTCAGACAGGTGTGTGTAACCAAGATGCGAGTGTACTGTGTCACAAAGATAAGATTCCCATTTGGTTAATCATGTCTGGTTTGGCTCTAAAAAGTGAAACCTCCCCTCTTTCTTGTGTCTCTGCTTCCTCCCCGCCTCGTCGCAGCGACCAGTGCACCATCGGCCTGGTCCTGCCCATATGGAGCGACACACAGGTGTATCTGGACGGAGACGGGTAAGAAACCGTTACAAACTGGGAATGAGGAATACATTTGAACACAGGGGGAGTGTGTGAGGCTGCAGCACAGACGGTGCAGCCTGATGTCTGGGATGCTGGCCAGTGATAATGTGAAGGAGTAATGGTCTCTATTTATGGAACAGAATCATTCCCTATGAATTACAACTACTCCTATGACTCATTTAGACCCTTACATAAGCATGGAGATCATGTGCTTCTGCAATGAACGATGAAAGTGAACTATTGTTGTTTCTGTGTGGTTGAAGGTTTGTCTCCCTGAAGATTGTTGAGGCTGTTTTCTTTAGGCCTCACATTACAGTGTTCTCCTTACGTGGCGATGCTCAGAGGAGTGTGTGTGTTCCCCCCCGTCCTCACATATTTATTCTCTACATTCTTGATAAGAATCGTCACTAAGTTGCACTGAATAAACCCTCTCTATCTCGTAGTGCGACAGCGCTTCTTATCAGCATTACTTCCTCATTTCTCAACAATTGTTATCTTCATTACTGTAGCTCATGCTTCTGTCTTTTCTCCTCAGTGGTTTCAGCGTCACCGCTGCTGAAGAGACCAGAATCTTTAAGCCTGTTTCCATGCAGACCATGTGGTACGTGATAATGCATTCATGAAATTACCATGGCATCCGTTACATCACTTCTTAAAGCACCTCACTAAAAACGACATGGCTACTTGCTGTAGATCTTGCATTTAAACCCCCCCCCCCCACCTGTCAGGTCTGTCCTGCAGGCGCTGCACGGCTGCACTGAGCGCGCCGTCAGTGCAGCGGTGATCCCAGGAAACGGTCTGGAGTGGGCCGAGCACTACCACCAGCACACTGAGTCGGACCGCTTCTGCCTCAACGAGTGGGAGGCCATGAACGACCTGGAGTCAGTGCGCAGTGACGGCCAGAGGTGAGGAAAGCACCGCTAAACTGAGTACATGCATCCAGCTCCAATCCACCTCTGATGTGAATGTGTAAATCAAAAGTCCTAATTTCTTCTCACCGTTTGTATACACGTCAGGTTTTACTTACGTTTCCTTTTTTCTTGCATGGTAAGCTCGGCAAACAGATTGTCCGACGAGACGCTGATCAAAGAGCAGCTGAGAGACATCCTGAGCACTGAAGACCTGGACAACCTCACGTCTAAAATGGTAAGAAGTGCGAGCAGACATCAGGAGGAAGTGAAAGAAAATCAGATAACTACCAGGGTTAAATAGAAGTTAAAAAAGGTTCATATATGTTTTGCATGTCTATTTATTCAGTTTAAATGCTGTATTTCTGCACAGTTGCTGGTTATAATTAGGCTGCACTCATATTATTAGTTTGACCCAATTTGTAGAATTACATCTAGTGTTGCCTCATAGATATTTCCAACCTGTTTCACAAACGTTTCCAATCACTCCAGTGCTTCAAATCTATTGAAACAATCGCATTTTCGTACACACACTAACTCGCAAATCTTGACCACCATGCCGAATCTTCTGCCACCTAGGGCAGAAAACTGAAAGATAGGGATATTTGTAGACCGATAGACTGCTGGTTTCTAGATTGAAAAAAAGATGAATGTTATCATTTCCAAAATTCACAACATTTATAAAAACATTGTTTGGTGTGATGACTGACATGACGGCAGACATTCAAACTTCATTAACTTTAATAAAGGCTTCTAATGTAGAAAAACCATTTGGTAAAGCATGTATACTGTGATCTCTCCTTTACTGGTGCAGGTGCACTCCGCTCTGGAGACCAGGATAGGCTTCGACATGAAACCCTTCAAGGAGTACATAGACAATGAGATCCTGGTCACCATGGCTCAGATGGATAATCCCTCCAAAATATTTGACTTCCTTTACCTGGTGAGTGATTGCTGACATCCAAAGACCATCCATAGGCTTTAGTATACCCTCATAGCAAGAGGCCTTTCTTATGCAAGAGTTAATAAAGTGAGATGTGCTTTCACCAGGAGGCTGTCATGTGACCGTAACTTCCCCTTTTTGTGACGGCTGTGTCGAAAGCGATAGGAAAGACGATTTGTCGGCCCTTTCCTTTTCGTGCACTCGACTCACCCTTCTGCTTCTGGTTTCAGGGCTCTGAGTGGAACGCAGCTAACTTTGAGGAGCTGCAGAAAAACAAGTCAGTGTTTCCAGCATTATTTATAGATCTGTTTTGGTTCCCATTGTCTCATGAACCTCATGTGTATACTTAAATTGTGCCATTGTGTTTAGCCGAGTCATCACCTCTGTGGCTCTAACTTGGTGCCTTTTTGTTTTTCAGTGTGGGATATATTCTGAATGTGACCAGGGAGATTGACAACTTTTTCCCAGAGTCCTTCACTTACATGAACATCAGAGTGTACGATGTGGAGGCCAGCGACCTGCTGCCTCACTGGACCGACACGTTCAACTTCATCAACACGGCCAGGTAGTCCTGCAACCCCAAACGCATCACAACACACCGTATGTCAGAGCCACTATTTAGATTTTATAAGAAAGGCCACCTAATTGTGACGTCTGTAGTCAACGCACTATAAAGGACTACAATTCCCACGGCGCCTGTGCTAAAGTCACTGTGAGGGGCAACCTGTCGAGGAACAGTTTTTAACCGTACTCGTACCGTATACGTACATGCAAACTAAAAAGCATTGTGCAGTATTTAGCAGAGAACAGTTGTAGAAAAGCACAATCACATGTGTGTCCTTAACTCTATAACATATTTAGATTGTGTCCAGTTACCAAACATGAAAACCATATTATTATTATTATAACATGTTTCATATACCTGTGACTGCTCCGATTGGCATGAAGCCTTATCATGAGGGGGAAAGGTTTGACATGCTAAATCCAGAGATGAAGACCTCCTGTATTTTTACACAGACCACTGCAAATTCTCTTTGACAGAGTTAGGGGAGCAGACTAATAGCACTTTAGTCTTCTCGTCAGGGCCGTTTCTTCCTATACGCGGACTATGCAGATGCATAGGGCACTAGGGGGCCCCCAAGCTGAAAGTTCAGGTTCAGCCTCAATATATTTGGGTAGAATTAAAATGAGCCGTCTTTATTTGTAGACAGCCAAGCCCCCTCCTGTGTTCGGTGAAGCATTATATGCTTACACATCCAATGTAGGATATAAACACAACTAAACTGCAATGATAGCAAAGCTGTGGCTTGTGTTTTTGGGGTAATAAAGTGACGTCTGAGGAAGAGGAACAATGTAAATGTAACATTGTTGAGAAAATGCTGCATCTCTTGCATTTATGAAATAGAGGAGCCTTATTCTTTACCTTTTTTAATATCATTTTTTGTAAGTTTCAATTGCTGGGTTTTTGTGAAATTAGCCTGTTTTCCTCTTAAAGTGTCACAGATCGATGCTTCTCCACAGTTCATCTTAAAGGCTTCGGAATCCCCCCATTGTAGTTAAAAAACTAGGGCCCCCATCAGCATCTTGCACAAGGCCCCCAAAAGGCTAGAAACGGCCCTGCTTCTCGTCTAACTCTCTACAAGTGGATGATGAATGATTGCATTTCCTTAAACGTGTTCATTTTGTTACCAGCTTTATCTCAGCGTAAATGTTGCTGTTTACATTTGTTGCACTGTGACTTATATGCACATTTGAGTTCATTTCTATATATATTACAAGTCAAGCAAAGCCCCTAAACCACTAAGTGACTTTCTCCTGATCTCCGTGTCACAGGGACAGTGGACAGGCCGTGTTGGTGCACTGTAAGATGGGCGTTTCTCGCTCTGCCTCCACGGTGATGGCCTACGCCATGAAGGAGCATCACTGGTCGCTGGAGATGGCGTTGGACTACGTCAGGGATCGCAGGTCCATCGCCAAGCCCAACGAAGGCTTCACGAGGCAGCTGCAGACCTACAACGGCATCCTCAACGCCAGGTCAGCGACACTGTTAGGCGTGATGCTGTATGAAGATCTACGGCTGTGAGGTTTTAGATTTGCTTTGTGCTCATCTGAGTGTGTTGTGTCTTCCTTTTTAATATTGTAGCCAGCAGCGCCACAGCACACTCTGGAGGAGGAGGTCGAGAGACCACAGACAGAAGTCAGTCCGCAAGGAGGAGAGACGGGAGGCAGGAAAGCCAGAGGAGGACGAGGAGGACGAGGAGGGCGATGAGGATTCTGAGGGATTTGGCGATTATGACCTGACGGATGAAGAGAGTCCAGATGAAAAAGATGTTTGTAGCCTGGATGAAAAAGATGAAGCGAAGGAAGAGACAGACGTAAGTAGTTGCATCAATGATATGTTATTTGACATTTTAGATCCTGCACACTCTTCATCTTCAGTTTTTTTATTTTCTCAAACACACCCAGTTGTTTGAAGAGCCCCTCCCCCAGTCGGAGACCAACCAGGGGCCCGAGCCGACACCAAACTGCTCTATTACAGTGAACGAACCAGACAAGGTGAACACACACACACACACACACACACACACACACACACACACACACACACACACACACACACTTTATCCCTTCATGCACCTTTTTTGATGTTCTCTCTCTCTCGTCTGAAGGTGGCTCCGAGTGTAAATCGCAGCGGCAGGATGAACCTCTTCTCTCTCATGCAGTCCATCAGTGATGAAGACAAAGGACGAGAGCAGGTGAACGAAGCCGAGTGCAAGTCTCTCTTTAATGCTCTTTGTAGTTTAGCTGTACAAACAAATGGTGGCGTTTGTTCAAGAAATATAGAGGAGATTGGTGTTGAAATGAACTGGGTAGATGTTTGGGATGTTTTTGAAAAATAGTTATTTTTAAATGTTTTCTAAATCCAACAGATGCCCTTTTATTATTGAAAGAGTTGTTCTTATCTTCCTTCTCCTTAAGGTAGAAAATGGGGCTAATCATACTATAAATACGATACTTAAACATTATATCTTGATATAGGTCATGCAATATCTCGTTAACGATATATCATGATAAATCCTTATTTCTGGAAACTCAATAAATTAATATATAGCTTGTATAAAATAATGTCATGGCAAATCTTTTGCTCCTGTGTACTGAGTATTTGTTGGTGTACTGAGAATTTTACAGCGAAATTAAATGTTTGACATGGAATTTAGTGAAATAAATATGTCCAGCTATACACAGAAATTGTTTACATAAACACAAATACAGAAAATTGTTATAGATTTCGCTGGGGTATTCCTATAAGCAGAATCTTTTGGGTTGTGACTGTTTACCACCAGTATTATGCCTTAGCTCTATTGTTGTTTCTAAATGTTAGTTCAGGGCCAATGCTTCCAACTTTTAGCCGGTCTCTCTCTAAAAGCTTCATTTCTATTTCTTTGTTCCTTTCAAAGCTCCTCGGCAGTCCATCGCGGTCTCCACGGCAGCGAAGGAGTAGCCAAAAGCGTCTGACTCACCAGAGAGCCTGCACGGACGTTTCACCTGAGCCACGAAGCCTGCCTGGCGCGAGTGAAAACAAACCCTGAAGACAGAGGGGCAGGGAGAAAGAGGAGGGAGCGGGACCCATGAAGGAGGAAGAAGATGGCTGGGGGGGGGGGGATGATGATTCATATCTTTGTTCCAAATTATTATAACTGATGACGGTTCACTTTTGATATTAGGATTATACTGTAATATACCACTGAAAGTCAGGGTGGCTGAAGTCATTATTATTGTACTTAGTTGTAATATTATTATGGGATTCTTCAGTGTTTTTAGAACATCTCCTTTCCTTCCTTCTTCCGCTCTCGCATCACCCCTCCACAGAATCTATGCAAAAACGTTTCTGCTTTTCTCCTTCTCTGTGAATATGAGGATGTATGCTGCCAGTCCAAGTTCTCCCATCAGAAGTCTTTTCCACGTGACGCTCATTGTTGACAGATGGGAGGAGTTCATGTTATCGAAGCTGTGCATCATGGACCAAGTCAGGGCCAGTTTTATAGCACAAGCCAAACCACGTATTCTAATGTGCCAATGAATATATTGAAAGTAATGTTAGGAACCAATTTCACTCCTTTTATTTGATTCTTTCTATTTAAACACCAGAGCTGTAGGAGTGCCTTCAACCTGAGAATGATTACGACTCTATGACTGGTGATGTGTATGTCTTTACTCCGAGGTGGTGGCTGCGTATTGTATGACTCTTGTACTGTTTCTCTGATTACAGTTTAATGTGACTTCCCAAAGCTTTTTGCATGTATGCATAAAGCATATGTAGACCTTGTGTATATATATATATGTATATCTATATATATCTATATATGTATATGTGTATGTATATATATATACATATATATATATATATATACACAGAACTGCTGATGACCTGGGTGCATGTTATGCGTTTTTGTACCAACGTGTTCGACCTCAGGGTTTTCTCATGTATTTATAAGGCTGTTTTATGAATTAAGCTAAATTATTCAAAATACTGTTTTCAGACTCACGATCACTGGATGCTGAGACGCAATATTTTAATTTCATGCTGGTAGTTTTTATCCAGTGAACCCAAAGCTAAAGCTTTATTTAACCTGCATGCTTACATTTAAAGAGAACATGCACTTTATAATCTCACAACACACGCTCCCCACTGCCTGAGCCAGCGACACACTGTACTATGAATAAAATGATCAATGCCTTTTTCTTATGTCTCCACGCCCTGTTGTGTGAAGTCCTCCACTGTCTGCACCTCACTCTTGTTTACAACAATCACTGAGTGAAAAAATAAACAATTATATTAAAACCAAATGTTTTTTTGTCTTGAATAAATTAACACGAGGACTCAATCAGTTTAGAAACGTTTTATTCACAAGAGACAGAGCACAGGACAGCAGACGTACTTCACTCATTGTCATTTACTGTAGTGCTGGTCATCTTAATAACCGTACAGTCCTCATTGAAGAGAGAGCAAAGAGAAAGGGATACAGGACATTTTAACAAAACGTGATAAATGATTCTTGAACTCAGTTGTCGATGTATTTCCTCCTGGGTTCACTGAGGGTGATTCCTCCCTCTTTCAATGCTGTCCTGAAAGACTGGACCTGTGAAAAACAAAGGTCAGGGAGAGATGAACATCAAGCTGGTGACGACTAAAGGGGTAGAAACAGACATCCAAATACATTTTCAAACAGCAGCTTATCTGCTTGTACTCACAGCGTCAGAGCGGTAGGTCCAGGGAATGGCCCTGTACACCATCCTGGTGATGCCGGCCTGATGGCAGCGGTGTGCCAGCACTTCGCCCACAGCCTGGCACGCCGCCACGCAGCTGGTGGAGTGCAGATCCCTCTTCAGCGCCCACTCTTTGGTGGAACAGGTGAGCACCGGGACAGGAGAGCTGCTGGAGAACACGCTGGCCGTCACATGGCTCTTGGTTCGAATAAACTCCAACCTGAATACACGAAAGAGACAAACATGATAAAACAGAAGAGACAAAGGCAGGAGGAATATGGAGAATTCAGATCTGCAGGATTCAATCTTGAAAATCTGTATTTGCGTTTTTGTTTGGACAAATATAAAACTTGACATGTATTTGCAGATGATGTGTATATAATATGTAAAGTCCCAATAAAATATCATATTGATCATAAATACTGGTAGTATATACAGTGGGGCAAAAAAGTATTTAGTCAGCCACCAATTGTGCAAGTTCTCCCACTTAAAAAGATGAGAGGCCTGTAATTTTCATCCTAGGTATACCTCAACTATGAGAGACATAATGGGGGGAAAGAATCCAGGAAATCACATTGTCCTCCACTTGTTAACTGTATTAATGGTACCTGTTTGAACTCGTTCTCAGTATAAAAGACACCTGTCCACAACCTCAAACAGTCACACTCCAAACTCCACTATGGCCAAGACCAAAGAGCTGTCAAAGGACACCAGAAACAAAATTGTAGACCTGCACCAGGCTGGGAAGACTGAATCTGCAATAGGTAAGCAGCTTGGTGTGAAGAAATCAACTGTGGGAGCAATTATTAGAAAATGGAAGACATACAAGACCACTGATAATCTCCCTCGATCTGGGGCTCCACGCAAGATCTCACCCCGTGGGGTCAAAATGATCACAAGAACGGTGAGCAACAATCCCAGAACCACACGGGGGGACCTAGTCAATGACCTGCAGAGAGCTGGGACCAAAGTAACAAAGGCTACCATCAGTAACACACTACGCCGCCAGGGACTCAAATCCTGCAGTGCCAGATGTGTCCCCCTGCTTAAGCCAGTACATGTCCAGGCCCGCCTGAAGTTTGCTAGAGAGCATTTAGATGATCCAGAAGAGGATTGGGAGAATGTCATATGGTCAGATGAAACCAAAATAGAACTTTTTGGTAAAAACTCAACTAGACGTGTTTGGAGGAGAAAGAATGCTGAGTTGCATCCAAAGAACACCATACCTACTGTGAAACATGGGGGTGGAAACATCATGCTTTGGTGCTGTTTTCTGCAAAGGGACCAGGACGACTGATCCGTGTAAAGGAAAGAATGAATGGGGCCATGTATCGTGAGATTTTGAGTGACAACCTCCTTCCATCAGCAAGGGCATTGAAGTTGAAACGTGGCTGGGTCTTTCAGCATGACAATGATCCCAAACACACCGCCCGGGCAACGAAGGAGTGGCTTCGTAAGAAGCATTTCAAGGTCCTGGAGTGGCCTAGCCAGTCTCCAGATCTCAACCCCATAGAAAATCTTTGGAGGGAGTTGAAAGTCCGTGTTGCCCAGCGACAGCCCCAAAACATCACTGCTCTAGAGGAGATCTGCATGGAGGACCATTCCTCCATGCAGATCTCCTCTAGAGCAGTGATGTTTTGGGGCTGTCGCTGGGCAACACGGACTTTCAACTCCCTCCAAAGATTTTCTATGGGGTTGAGATNTTTTTTTTTTTTTTTTTTTTTTTTTTCGGACTGCTACAACGCGAAAAACTTGCAAACCACAGCCAGGCACCAAGGAGGACCAGGCATGCTCGCCGCTTAGATATATACTGCTGATCCTTGCCGGTGGGTTTACTGCAATATGCCAAGCTAGAAGCCGATGGCACTCGGTAGCAGGAACAAGTGGTCTGGGCCCTCTGCCTACTTTAAGCACAGATATGTGGGGACCGGAAGGAGGGTAGGTACCTAAGAGACCAACGGTACGTCCCGATTCTGTGGGTGAGCTGCGAGTCAAGAGAGGCATGCCGTGCATGTGACATTAATGGGCCCAGTACATGTGCTGCCCAGGCCTGGAGCGCCACGAAGAGAGCACGGAGGGCCGCCGTGGTGTCCTTTTTGAGTGCCATGTCTTGAGATGATTGATGCTGTTACAATGGCTAGCCTAGCATGTGTGAGCGCGTCTCTGTCACTGCCATTGTGACGCTTTGGTTACTTACCAGTGTACCGCGGAAGTTACTTCCGAGGCCCAGGCAGAGAGGCGGCCGCGGGCCTTGCTTGACGCCCGGATTGAGGCTCACCACGACAGCTCATGAAGGCTTCCGATGCAGCCCGGAGTTCCTCTGCGCCAATGGCTCCGAGCAGGTCTTACATGAGCCGAAGCGCCTCACACCCTCTTGGTGCGTCGTGCCGCTCACTTCATATGGAAGGGGTTTCCCAACAATCACCGCGGTCGCTGCAAAGACCGGGAGACAGCATGGAGACAGCAGAGCGGAGAACAGGCCGTGTATGTGTCGTGCCCTCTGCTCCTGTTCTGTCTACCTGTACTGTCTGTCTGTGCTGCATGCCGTCTGCTCTGTCTGTCTGTCTGTCGTGCTGTGTGACGGTTCCGCGTTTGTCAGCGGTTGCGCCCTCCATTGTGCTCCACTATGTCTTCTTCCTTCCTGGCTTAGTTTTAGCATTCAACACTAAAGCCCCTCTATTCAAAATTTTGTGTTAGCTTTGTGTTATCAATACTGTATGGTCAGTTACATTCGTGAAGTACTCCGATAATTGATCAGGTAATTACACGTAATACTTCACCACTGAGCCTCTTTTTAGGATACATTGCATTTCTGCAGGAGGCTATCGGGCCAAAGAACATGGCTCGATTGATTCTTATTGCATTGAATTAAAGGTGAGCATATTAGAATGCATAATATGCACTGAAAGGTCCTGAAAAAAAGCTTTTTTTCAATGAGCCGTTTTAAGTTCGGCTTCATGCATAATATTCTATTATCCTCAATTTGTTATGCGTAGCATGTACAGTTGGGCAAAAAGGTTTATTTAGTGAAGCCAACCAATTGTGCCCAAAGCTTCTCCCACTTCAAAAAGGGAAAGATGAGAGAGGCTTGTAATTTTCATCCTAGGTATACCTCAACTATGAGAGACAAAATGAGAAAAAAAAAAAATTCAGAAAATCACATTGTCTGATTTTTAAAGACTTTATTTGCAAATTATGGTGGAAAATAAGTATTTGGTCAATAACAAAAATTCATCTCAATACTTTGTTTTATACCCTTTGTTGTCAATGACAGAGGTCAAACGTTTTCTGTAAGTCTTCACAAGGTTTTCACACACTGTTGCTGGTATTTTTGGCCCATTCCTCCATGCAGATCTCCTCTAGAGCAGTGATGTTTTGGGGCTGTCGCTGGGCAACACGGACTTTCGACTTTCAACTCCAAAGATTTTCTATGGGGTTGAGATCTGGAGACTGGCTAGGCCACTCCAGGACCTTGAAATGCTTCTTACGAAGCCACTCCTTCATTGCCCGGGCGGTGTGTTTGGGATCATTGTCATGCTGAAAGACCCAGTCACGTTTCAACTTCAATGCCCTTGCTGATGGAAGGAGGTTGTCACTCAAAATCTCACGATACATGGCCCCATTCATTCTTTCCTTTACACGGATCAGTCGTCCTGGTCCCTTTGCAGAAAAACAGCCCCAAAGCATGATGTTTCCACCCCCATGTTTCACAGTAGGTATGGTGTTCTTTGGATGCAACTCAGCATTCTTTCTCCTCCAAACACGTCTAGTTGAGTTTTTACCAAAAAGTTCTATTTTGGTTTCATCTGACCATATGACATTCTCCCAATCCTCTTCTGGATCATCTAAATGCTCTCTAGCAAACTTCAGACGGGCCTGGACATGTACTGGCTTAAGCAGGGGGACACGTCTGGCACTGCAGGATTTGAGTCCCTGGCGGCGTAGTGTGTTACTGATGGTAGCCTTTGTTACTTTGGTCCCAGCTCTCTGCAGGTCATTGACTAGGTCCCCCCGTGTGGTTCTGGGATTTTTGCTCACCGTTCTTGTGATCATTTTGACCCCACGGGGTGAGATCTTGCGTGGAGCCCCAGATCGAGGGAGATTATCAGTGGTCTTGTATGTCTTCCATTTTCTAATAATTGCTCCCACAGTTGATTTCTTCACACCAAGCTGCTTACCTATTGCAGATTCAGTCTTCCCAGCCTGGTGCAGGTCTACAATTTTGTTTCTGGTGTCCTTTGACAGCTCTTTGGTCTTGGCCATAGTGGAGTTTGGAGTGTGACTGTTTGAGGTTGTGGACAGGTGTCTTTTATACTGAGAACAAATTCAAACAGGTGCCATTAATACAGTTAACAAGTGGAGGACAGAGGAGGCTCTTAAAGAAGAAGTTACAGGTCTGTGAGAGCCAGAAATCTTGTTTGTTTGTAGGTGACCAAATACTTATTTTACCGAGGAATTTACCAATTAATTCATTA